AAACATTGGGGTACCTCTGCCCCTATGCATCAGCACTCCTGTATCTTGTGGATGAATTCCTAGTGGTGTCATTGCTGGGTGGTAGGGTAGTTATATTTTTAATTTTTTGAAGTGCAGTTTTTAAATTTTTTTAAATCTTTATTTTTGAGAGAGAGACAGAGTGTGAGCAGGGGTTGGGGTGGGGGGGGACAGACAGAGAGAGAGACACACAGAATCCGAAGCAGGCTCCAGGCTCCAAGCTGTCAGCACAGAGCCAGATACGGGGCTTGAACCCATGATCCTTGAGATCCATGACCTGAGCCGAAGTTGGATGCTTAACCAACTGAGCCACCCAGTTGCCTCGAGGTACAGTTTTTAAATAGAGGCCAGAAAAGGCCTCAGTGGGAGGCCAAGGGAGAAGGAACAAAGGGATAGATAACTTGGAGGCAGAGCTCCAAGGGGCAAGAATCTCACAGCAGAATATGGTGACGACTTCCTCACTGAAACTGGCTTCTGTCTTTGTCCCAGCTGTAACTCATTCATCTAGTCAATAAATACTGAACGCTCTACGTGGCAGGCACTGTTATAAGAGGTCAGGAGCCTGGGAGTGGGTCTAGCCCTAGGAAGTATGGCTGGGCTGCTGGGGGCTCCTTCCAGGCTTTCTTTTCCTTGTCCTCAAATAGTGTCAACCCAGCTGGAGGCAGAGCCCGTTGAGGGCAGGCAGATGGTCGTTTCTGAGGCACCCCCAAAGCACTGGAGCCTCTAAGGGCTCCCTCCTTGCCTGCTTGGCTTCCCTGGGTCGGAGGGTGAGGCTAGCCCTACTCACACTGCAACCTTCCATGCCCTTCCTATGAATAGCCTCAATGTCCCACAAGCCAGCTCCCCCTGCCCCCATGGGAGACCTCACAGAGTGTCAGATTGGTAATGGCCCCGGAAGCTGTGGGACATTCCTTGGGCTCCCATCCTGGGGATGTTTATTCTACAGGCAGGCGGAGGGTGAGAAAGGAAAGAAAAATGTGGCAATCTGCTGCATCCACGTCAGCGGCATCATCTGAGG